ATTTAAAAGACGTGTAGATGAGGCGCTTAAGGACATGGTTTAGTGGGCATGGTGGTGTTGGTTCAACGGTTGGACTTGATGATCTTAGAGGTCTTTTCCAACCTTAATGATTCTATGGTGGTTGTATATTCCCATGCCTTTCTATTGCCATTTACAGGACTACTTGAAAAGCTGAATCACTGGCCAGAACCACCTTTTTGCAGCTGAATAAATACGATCCAAGTCCAACAGCAGGAAAAGCACCCTCTGCCATCCAGTATAGTGACATGCTTTGGGTTTATATCACATACATTATAGGTTATTTTGGAAACTCTGGTGGGTTTGTACCAACAAGCAGGTATTAAAATTAAGAAAGAGTATGTTTTTGAGACAGAAGGTTTGTCTGTTCTTTATTAGTCCGTATTGTTAAATAAGGTGTCTGTCTGATTCTGGCTTTTGCACTTCAGTTCAGGTGCAGTCTCTGCAGGGAGAGAGAGACCTTTCCCAGGGAAGGAATGACAGAGCCTTTCTTACCTGGGCAAAATTGTCTGGGCAGAGTGGGGGAGCCGCATGGATGGAGGTGGGGTGGTTTCGTCTGAAAGTCAGGAAGCAGAGCCAAGCCTTAGAGGTGACAAAAGAGAGGGCTTTCTAGGTGTCTGTGTGACGTGGCTTGCATGTCCTGCAACCCAGGATGCCCCGGACTGCTGCTAGTCTTGCAGAGGGATAAATGCACTATGCAAGGGCTCTGGAGGTGGTGGGGATGTTAAAAATGTTTTTAACTAGAATTCCTCCATTTGTTCAAGTTTGCCTTCTAAAGCATCATTTGATGCTCCTGGAGTGCTTGCATTAAGGCAATGATGCGGACCATGCCACCCCAGAACTGTGATAACTCTTGTCCCATCTCAGTGATGAACAGTGAAACATTTATATTTGCAAGCTGCCTGGCTAGTAATTTATTTAGAAAATGGTTCTGAAATAGAGCACTCCGCTCATGCAGAACATGAAGTCTTAATGTTTGAATTTGGTTCTTAATTTCCTTAAAGTCAGAAAGGTCAGGGCAGGGTTGGTTTCTTTGGATCACTACAGATTTCAGAATTCCAGCTAGGAAAGGCAAATTGTTCCGTTTGGCCTTTCCTGATTTCCCAATAATTTTCTGTAGCTCTGCATATACTGAGTAGAGTCTACCTTCATCCCCAGAAGACCTAGTTCTGTTAAAGCTGAATAGCACTTCTAATCTGAAGTTCAAAGTATAGCCCCTGGTATCATTTTGGTTTCATATTCCTTTAATAAATGGTGGGTCTACAGCTGGATGATTGCCTGATACAAGACATCACTTTGGGTGGTGCTAGTTCTTCATCACTGGAGCGTAGAGACAGCAGGGACTGTGTAATTAATTCCAGTATTTTGATTTCATTTCATCTTAAGCCAACAATAGGAAACTCTGGGGCAGATAATTGTACTAAATGAAATACTGAACATCAAGCCTCTAGCAAGTAAAATGAAAAAAATAATTAGCAGGTAATGCGGAGTTATGGCTTGTTTTATACCCAGGTCTTTAATAGCATGCCTTGGTATGCAGTGTCTTTAATGAACTTCTGAAACTTCAGCGGTCATAGTCTGTTCCAAACTGTGTTTTTATTCTTTTGGTTTGGATGGGGGAAGTTATAATTGAGTTTTGTTTCTTTATTGAAGTGAATTTAGTAACGGTGAAAGGTGTTAGACTGAAGGCCCTAGAAATGGATGTCTTCAGGCAGCATTAGTCACTAAGCACCCTGCTGAGCCTGCTAACAAAGTTGCCTGTTACGTTGTACTGCTGGGGGTCCTTTATGTGTGTGTTCATAGAACTTTATTCATATTTGGTCACTGCCTGCTGAAACTGTTTCATATGCAAAAGTGTAATACCTCATACTAAAGGTGCTCCAGATACCATATTTGCCCACTTCTTCCAGAAGAAAACAGTTTTATGTATCTTCGTGATTGATGGCTCCCTTTGCACATACTTGCACCTGCTTTAATGCATATTTTAAAGGTAATTTAATATTTGGTGAACACCTGGATGACAATAATTTTTCTAGGACAAAGCCTACTTTACTTAAACTATCCCAGAAAAGAAAACCAAGCAAAAGCATATTAAACGAAACAGAAATGTTACGATTGAATGTGTTCACAGGACTTTTGTACTGGTTTAACTTAATCTGATTTAAGATCATAACTTGAAATCACTGCAGACTGCATGCAGAGAGACTGTGTGCAATCTTGAGTTCCTGCTTTTCATTTCACGCCCTGGTTTGTCTGCCCTGTTAGCTCGTGTCAGTGCTTTCATTAACGCATGTCTCACATCTCACACAATAGTCAGCGGCTGAATTTTGACAGCAAACATGACTGTCAAAATTGAATAGGGAGTAGTTGGTTGTGGGAGCGTTCTTATCTCATGATTATATGAACTTCAAATTTTGTAAGAGGTATGCAAGTGACCAGAGGCCTCTCTTTTTCCAGTTACAGTTAAGTACCTATGCAGTACAAACCCCTACACCTGGCTCTTGTGATTCCAGCCGCTAGATACTGTACTAGTGCCCCATTATTATGATGGCCCAAGGTTTTAACTATTGAATTTGCTGCCTTACAGGTATTTGTTATAGTTACTATGCCTATGCAATTCTAAGAATGGATTATTTGAGTTGTCTCCTTACAAACTGGTAAAATAGAGTGGGATTCAGAGAGGCATTTTGGATGCCTTCAGCTTGATGCCTGATCCAAACAGGGTGGTTCCTGGCAGAAGAATGGGACATAGATTGTGCAGTGACTCTGTGCTGAATGGAGAGTCCTGTGGCGCACATCAGTAAGAAATGCTGACCGTGTTGGCCCATCTGAACTTCTGCTCTTCTGTGGCGCAGAGGTGCGGCACTGAGACAAGCTCACAGATACTATTTGTAATGGAGGGCCTATGTCCTCTTCTTAGCACTTGCCCAAGCAGGGATTTATTTATTCAAAGCAACATGATGAGAGGAAGGGTCATGATTGTATCTGCTGTTACAAGTAAGAACCTCATTTCTGCGTCTTCCTCAGCTGCAGGGGTATTGAACTCAAGCCTGTTGTCAGGAGAGCAACCTGGTCCCAGGTTATGGAGGAGTCTGGGCACCCCATTATAACCTCCCATCTCCAAGTGGTCCAGATTCTCTTGTGTGTATGTTGAAATGGGTGGGGTGTGTCTGACCGTAAAAGTCAATAGCAAGAGCCATCATGTGGAGGTTAACTCATGGCTTTGGTCCTGCTGTCCAGATTCAGTGAAACGTGACTTTGTGTTTGTCTATTTGTGATGAGCATCGTGTACTTTCTGGTGCATAGGAGCAGCGGAGAAGAGCTCGAAGCATGGAGCTGAAGACCGAACCCAGAATTTCATCATGGCCATGAAGGATCGCATGAAAATCCGGGAGCGGAACAAGCCAGAGATCTTTGACTTGATCAGAGATGTGTTCTGTGAGAGCAAATTGACACATGCTCAGCAGATGAAGACAGTGAAGCAGAGCGTGCTTGATGGCACCTCAAAATGGTCAGCAAAGATCACGATCACAGGTGAGTGAGGGAGGCATGGATTCTCTTGGCCTTGCTTGGGAGCCTAAGGTAAGAGAGAGTTGGTGTGAAGCTGGAGAGAGCAGAGAGGAAGGACTTCTCTGTCCTGTGTCTCTTTCTGCTCAGTGTACAGGTAGCAGGTGGAGATACTCCTACTCCAGGCACTGTAGTGCACCACGAGCTGAGGCTTATCAGAAGAGCTCTCATGAGTGATACTCCTGTTTATCTGGCCATTCTGAGCTGCTGCTTCGCGTGGTGTCTTATTGCACGGTGGTGGTAACCCTTCTCTTTTCCTTCCAGTGGTGTGTGCTCAGGGTCTGCAGGCCAAAGACAAGACTGGGTCCAGTGATCCATATGTAACCGTTCAAGTGGGTAAAACAAAGAAGAGGACAAAAACGATTTTTGGGAATCTGAACCCTGTTTGGGAAGAGAAGTTTTACTTGTAAGTGCTATTACAAGGACTCAGCCCCATTTTGCCTGTTTGTACATTCTGTGCTTCCACAGCTATGTATTCTCTGTCAGTATGCGTTCCCACACCACCTGTAACGTATGATGGTTTCATTTCTGCTCAGCATTGTGTGTGTGTGTGTCTGGAGGGTTGATGTCTTTAACAATGTATGTAGTGCACACCTGTCCATTTCATCTGTCTTGTGTATGCATAAAATGTATGCTCTGTGAACACTTTTATATTGATGTTTCTAGAGAAAGCTAAATAGAAAGGAAAATCTTTAACTCAGCAACTTTTGTTCCTGGCTAATAGACATACTTTCAAAATTCTTTGTAATAGAAAAGAGTAAAGTTTGTATAAGAAAGTAAAGTTTGTATGAAAGACTAAGCAAACTTCCCGTGACCTATTGCTGTGACCTGCTACTGGTGTTCGACCAACTAAAGGTTAAAGGTAGTAAGTTGTCTGTCACTTGTCTGTGGCACTACCAGTCTTCCCTTTTAATTCTGGAAAATCAAGGTAACAATAACTCGAGGGATTATCTGCTTTCAAGATGAGCGATGTATCCATGTCTGAATTAAAAGCAAAGTCTGGAGGCACAATTCTTTAGATATCAAGTACTCTCAGAAGGCTGAAGAATGTATTATTCCATCCTGCTTTTATTGAATAAGTAAACAGTACCCGTAATTTATTACTGAACATGTTATAAAACAAAAAGGAGACGTGAAATCCAGGAAGCAAGTGTTTTCTGAAGATTCTGGATGATCTCATTCAACCTCAAACATCTTTATTTCCTTTAATGTGTAAGCTCTTCCCTTGTTCCTTTTCTCCCTTTCCTTTTTTTTCTTCCCTATTTTTTCCTAAACTGCTCGGGGGAGCACTCTCTGCTCTGAAATTGCACTCTCTGCAAACTGAAATTTGTTTGTGTGTTAAAATCAGGCTTATATCAGCCCAGCTTTGTCTTTACAATGCACAGTACAAACAAAATTATTTTTAAAGTAGTTTTGAGCTACTCATTAACGTCAGAAAAATCTTGGTGCTATTTTGAGCAAGTAAGCTGTTGGCTTTATTCTTAGTTTAGTCCAAGGTAACATTACTGCTTGGTAAGTAGTAAGTATGCTTAGGTGCCATTTGGATAACTCTAGTCACAATAGCAGTAAGTCTGTGTGGGAGCTTTAAGGACCTTGATTTACCATGCCAAGTAGTTACCATGGTATTTGCAGTGTGTTCCCTTCTAATTTTAGGAGCTTCAACAAATACTCTGTTTAAAGATAGATAGCACAACGTGATAAATGTCACAGTTTTAACCGTGCCACTGTTTAGATTTTATCGCCATGTCTGTGATTCAGCAGATAATATGCTGTTGGGCGTTAGAGTTGATGCCACTTTCTGTCTTGCCTATGTCTAGGTGGTTGTTTTAATTGCCTTGAAATAGCAGGAGGAAATGAAGGAAATGAGCACAGTGCCCAGATTGATGTCAGGAGAGCATTCGGTACTGGAATCAAGGTGTCGTTTCATTAGCAGATGTCAAAGCTCACCTTATGCTGGATGAGGAGAGAGTCATTTAGAAGTGTATGCAGCACTGGTCTTTTACACGCCCATCTTCCTCTTTTTGCACTTATGGATCTTTTTTCAGCTTCCAACTCTTAAAATTTATGAAATTTTCTACCCTGTAATCAAATGGAAATTTAAACCAACATATGCAGGCCAAAAATACCCATTACATACCAAGCTTTTTTAGAAGAGATTGTCAGGAGAATCAAGAGATTGTCAAATTTAAAGGGTTGTGGGGGGCTGTTTGTTTCTTAGAATGAAGTTAATTTGTTACAGTGGTAGAAAGGTAGAAAGCCTACCTGGCAGTAGGTGTGTGACAAGTTTGGTGTTCAAAATGCTTAAACATTTCAATGGGCGCAAGATACGTGAGTAGAGAGGTCAGGTCAGTAACTAATGTGTGGGTTAGCAATTGCTGCTCCTTTTCTGTTTGGCTTGTTGGACAGCCTTGTTTGTAGCTGGTGTTCGTTAGGTGCCCCGTGTCTGTTATACGATCACAATTCCGTGTCTTTTCAAAGGTTAGACACTGAGCCAGAAATCTGTGTGCATCAGTCATTATAATTATAGCACTGTTATTGTAATCCATGGCATGAATTGAGGCAAACTGTACAGCTGAGTGATACAATTCTTTCTACAGACTCCGTATAAGTTTATTAAAAGCAGCTTAAACAAGTTTTAAAGTTTTTAAGGCTGCAGTAACCTATTTCAGATAATTTTTCTGTGCTTATTTACAGTGATGGATGGAAAAGTATATTAACTTAAATACCTCTCCTTAAATATGACTTTGGTAATTTTCTATATATTTTCAGAAAAAAATGTTGTGGTAGTCTTGACCCAATTTGGAAGTCCAGATTTAGAACTGTATTTTAGAAAAAAGAATGTTGAAAACACTTCAGGTTTCCATTATAAGCACTATTTAGGTCACTACTAGCCTGTGTCAGTATAGGCATCTGCTTAGATTAATGACCAGTTCTTGGAGCATATTCATCTTGTCTGAGCAAGTGATTGCAGGTCATGTTTCTTTCTGAAAATTATCTCTTTGTATATTTGCATCTTTAGCTTTAGGAAACGTGTTGTTATAGAGAGATTTTTTGTATCTTTCATTGGAGTTTGAAGACCTATGAAAATAGAAGCATTTGATCTTTCTGCTCAGTGCAAAGTTTTGCAGGCTTGATGCATATATGGTGCTTGGCAGGAGGAAGCTTGATGGGGGACGCCAGCCATTGCTGCAATACAGAAATGTTGTTCTGTGAGCAAGGAAGCCTGCTTCCCTTGCTTTACATCCCATTCCCCCTCTGCAGTAATCCCAAATCCCTTTCCTATAGCTGTGATGAGCAGGCTTATAGGTAGCCTCCTTGCTTTGCCCTGTATATTTCTCCTCTGTGCCCTCAGCTCTCTTCCCTTGCCCTCGACTCTGGCTGGAGAGAAGGCAGCACATGTCCTACCTCCAGTTGGTTCTGAGTTGTCTGGATCAGTTCCTACATGAGAGCCAGGTGGCTGCAGACTTTCCAAGGATGGCAGCTGGTATGGGTTTCTCTTCTCCATTTAGCTGTAATTTTTTCACAAAACTTGTGGGAACGTGGAAGCTTTCATAACAAGTCTGCGTAACTCTCATTTCCCTAGGAAACAGCCCAGTAATATTAGAGGGAAGATATTTTTGCACTGTTCAATGCAATTAGAACAGGACATTAATTTCCCATTTAGGCATGTTTTAGACTGTCAGTAGAAAATACAGGCTTCCTAGAATCTTTGACTGAAGCTGAGCATCCACTTGAACGGGTTACAATGGCAGACAGTGTTTAGGAGAATAAACTTTTGACCGCAGGACAGAGTTTCCATTTTAAAGGGAGAGCCCTGGGCTCGGTTGGAGGCTGCTAGTCTGTACCTTTTTTTTCAGGAAGTGCCCCAGTCTTCAATGGGGCGTGAGCACTAGAATGTACTGGATTCAAACAGAACTTTGCTGTTTTTCTTGGCCTAGGCACAAAATGACTCATTCATTTTACAGTAATATCCCCTTGAAGTTGTATTGTCTGAGTACAGCTGTGTCTGAAGCTTGAATGGTGGGGTGTGAAATCATTGCCTGGAACAGATTACATTGTCACTGAACAGTCTGCAAGAGGCATGTTTATTCTCTCTCACTGCAGAAGAGTAACTGAGTTAAAATAAATGCAGTGCCTCCTGCTAGCAGATAATCAATATTGTACTAGGGCATGCAGAGCCCCACGTGATACGCATTCCTCTTAATCCTTTGGGAATGGTGCTGTTGCATAGCTAACCACTGGGTTGTCACCCAAAAGCTTCTATTCGGTTCCTCAATTTTCCTTTCAGCTGCTGAGCCTGTTAATCAAGCTCAGCATCTTTCACTTACCTCTGTGGTTATATGTGACTGCTCCAGAGCTCTTTTTTGGACTTCCCCTTCTGAGACCACTGTGTTTATAAATGTCACTGTAACTCTGCACCCTCAGCCTCCCTTCACTGCATGGCAGGGGCCGTTCAGTTTGTCTTCCTTTCTTTATTCTCCAGGTACTGCATATGCTGAAACTGGCACTCTGATAAAATCTCGCTTGTTTCCCTGCTCAGTTACCAATGTGAAACTTACATTTGAAAGCAGAGTTTTGATTCCTTGTGGCAAGTGCCTGTTGGGAAGCTGAGTTAACGTAGCTAAATATGTAATGCTCAGAATCACTTTATCTGCTCTTTGTAGTTAGGAGAGCCGTACCATTAGTTTGTCAGTCAGTGTTGTAGCATTGGGTAACAGCATAATGATTGTACTTGTTCCCCTAAGAGAGCTTCATGCTAGCAAGAACAGAAAACTAATTTCTTTGTTCTTAGACAGCAACAGCTGGATCTCGGGGCATATTATTGTTCTGTTGTGCTTAACATCTAAGCTGCTAAGGATTTTAGCTTTGTTCTCTTACCACTCTGATTTTGCCTTCCGTGTTTTCTCCACTGTCCTTTTTTCTCCCCGATAGAAGACACTTGGCATTGTTTAGAAATTAACCTGTCCTGAGAAGTTTTCTGCCTTCCATTCCCATTGAGGTTGGCCACGACACAGCTGCCAGTTGGACCCTGCCATGTCAAGACACTTCATTTGAACCACATCTGAATCACCCTGCTTTTTCAGCCAGACCATTTCCCATAGGCAACCTTTTTTCTGCTCTCTCTGTGTATGTTGTTATAATTCTCTACTGGGCTTTCTCATACTGGTTGCTACAACTACTCCTTCCTTTCTCATTTTCCAGAAAATCACTTTGCTTTTTTTTTGAAGCTTTGCTCCTCAGAAGCAAAACTTTCCTCCTAAAATGATCACAGGTCCTAAAGTCTTGCTGATCTGTTCTCTCCTGTGCATTTTCCCACCTCCTACACTCTCATCCATTATTTCTGCAAGCAGCTCTGCACTTTCTTTCTCTCTCTACCATTGCATGAAATGTCCCCTGCACTGGACT